GGCCAGTCTGTGTGATTTCAAGGCCAGACAGATCTAGGTAGAGACTCTCTCTGTGTCTACATAAATGAAGATCTGCACAGAACAGAACAAAGGCACAGGCATGAGAAGCTGTCTAAGGTTCTCCTACTTTAAGCACTTCTGTTCTGGGACACAGGTGTGAGGCAGTGCCACAGCAGGAATCAGAACAAGACAAAGGAGAGTAACGAAGCCTGTTGTCTAGTCAGAGCAAGAGTCAACGTGGATCAACTAGGAAGTCCATGCCAGCACAGGAAGAACAGGCAGCTCACTAAATGAGTGCCATCCTATCCTTTAGCAAGAATCATTCTGAACCATTTGTTTGGGATATGTGAGGGAAAATGGGTCTCAGACTCTCCCAGATTGTACAAAGTGGAGATAACAAAGATCTTCAAGGAAAGCCAGACAGATTCCATCTCACCCTTTTCCCATTTTCCTCTTGCTTACTACAGAAAATTTCCAAAGTGCACCTTTCTTTGGAACAGAATGTCCACTTCAGGTCTCTGTGCCTGGGCTGAGGAATGCCATGCCCTTAGCAGGAAGTGTGTGCAACTTCTCCAGGGTCTCCACCCCAGCTGTGAGTGCAGCATGGCTCCTGCCATCAGACTCCAGTGCTTGTTGCCAGCAGCTCATGGACAGTGCCTACCCTTACCTACTAGCTGGCACAACCATGGTGACTGCATTGACTGACCAGGGCCAGATCTCTGCCTCAGCCCTCTCCTATCCAGGTGTTCTCCAGGGGGATCCCATGGGAAGCACTGACCAGTGGCGTGCTGCACTCCAGGACTTCACTGTAACTATCACTGACCAGAATACCACATTATGCACCTTGTCTAGGACAGCCCAGGGTGATAATATTTTAGATCCCAATTCCTTAGTCCTCTCCTATCCAACACTTTCTGCCAACCTTGTGCAGGCCACACCACCACAGGTATCAAATCAAGGATACAGCCTGGCACCTTCCTACCTGGAGGGCAGCCAGGTCTATTACAATGACTTCAACAGCCTGGGCCCTCTGATGCCTGGAGAACTCAGGCAGTGCCTGCAGGCCTGTGGCTCTGTGTCCTACTCTGGGGGTCAGGCCTCTGCCCTGCAACCAGAGATAGTGATGATGCCAAAGGAGATTCAGTCAACAAATGTCCAAACACCCTTCTCCACCTCTGCCATCTACTATCTGCTCAAGACCTGCTCAAGACATGCCAGACACCAGTCTTCAAGGTGAGTAGAGCCAGGAGGGAGGACAGAGATCAGCACTCAAAGCAGACACAGCTCAAACTTTCAGGAGTGAATGTCCTCAGGGAGGAAAAATGGGAGTCCTGAGAGCTCAGCCTTGGCCTGGCTCACCATCTTCATCTTCAGTCTCTATAATGACTGACAATGCAGGGCAATGAGTGGCATCCATCCTCCATTAAGACATGTCCAAGGCCACCACCACAGACATACACGTCACTGACCTAGCTAATCGTTCCATGGACCATTACACAGCAATGCCTCCTTCCTAATCTATTCCTCGGGGCTGTAGAGGACACCAAGGCCTTTCTTTTTGCTAACACTTTATTTTCTCTCACTTGAATTCTGACTCTAGAGCAGTGCACTGAAAATCTGTCCTAGAAGAAATATTACTTG